CCTGTCTTCAAGGAGTAAAAAAAAAAATCTGTAATTAACTTGTGATGAGACAAACCATTAACTTTGCCTCTTGCTGGACTCCTGTCTGTGTGAATGCAATCCAGATCACTCATGTCTGCCTGGCCTGGTTGTGTTACTGAAGCTTAATGAGAGATTCCAAAGGAAAACCTAAGTATACGAATATACATTTTTAAATTACTGTATATTTTATGTCTTTACACCTTGAGTTGACTATTTCAAGATCTTAGCTCAACTCATATTTTAAGTTAGAAAATGAAGTATTTATGGTATATTTGTAAAGCTGAAGCTAAGCCAGTTTTAATGATAGATCTCTATCAACATTTGTATTTTCATTATTAGTTGGGTGTTGTCAAAGTCATCCTAGTATTTATCTTTTGGTTTTGTCTTGACTGGTCTGTCATTTGTTTTTGTGCAGGAGATCTTGTTGGATAATTCTATGTTGGTAGGTCCCTGACCCTCAATTCCTGACTTTTTGAGGTTTGCAGTGCTGTTTCTTTGTCATTTTTTTGGTTGTAGATGTTATTGTTTTCCTCTGCATCTCTGCCTAAGCTAACCATTAATGCAAAACCCAGTATGTGTAGCATGTTACATGGTGTTTATTTAATACCAGTGTTAAAAAATCCTCCCTAACCTTCTCCAGCTGGTATATTCTCCTTGCACTTAATTTTGCATCATTTTCATTTAATATATTCATTTCAGAAAGGAATTGTAATTACAGTTTGATTTAATTTCTGTATTTTGCCTGTTTGGTTTGTTTGCCTTAACCCACTTTATTCCTCTTTCTATTATAAGTGCTGGAGAATGACACGGAGATGTTAAGCATCCCATTTTGCTTTGTGTGACAGCCTTTAATCTTTTTTTCTACAAAAAAAAAAAAAAAGAGTACTTTTAAGCATGCTCTTTCTGAAATAATAATAGCCCAAATAATGCTGCACCTGCCTTGTATTATATGCTTGTAAAACTCCAGTTAAAATAACTAGAAGATTGATTAACATTTGTTTAAAAATTATCTTGTCGAGAGCTTTCTTTGTGATTGTTGTTAAATGTAGTCATAATCTTGGGCATGAATAAACTTACTGTTTTTACATTTTAACTTCTCTGTTATCCTGTGTATAGTTTCTAACAGCAGTTTTTAAACATGAGTGGAATGACATTACCTTGGTACTTTGTGAAGAGCATTCTTCTCTTTCCACTTTTGAGTTCATGATATGGCTTGAGGATATAATAGAACATATTTATAAAGCACTTCCTGTCCATATGTTTCACAATGAGATATTTACAACCTTTTTCTGTCTTTTGGCTTCTGATAAAATTTAGGATTTAGCTCTATTTGCATGTGTTTCTTTTTATATGTCAAAAAGCCAGCTGCCACCACCTACTCTTTTTCTTAGAATTTAGCCTCTGCCCTTTTCAGCAAACTTACCTACTTCAGTCGTTTTCTCCCATATACACCAGATCTAAAGATCATTATAAGAACTGTGCCATTATTTTTCAAGTTTTGCTTGGAAAATCACTATGATAAGACACATTCATTGTCTTAAGCCATACCAAACTGGTTTTTACTTTCATATTTAGAACAAAACAAATTTCAAAAGATCTACACTTTATTCTACTTAGGAAATCACTGAGTAAAAATTTGTATCCAGAAACCGTTGACTTGTTTTGATTGCTCATTTAAGATATATCAGCAATCATATCATTTACCCTATCATTAACACAATCTGTTGAGATTAACATTGTTTAAACACTTCTTAGTAAAAAGAGTGTGTATTGAGTCTGTTGCTGAGCAGAAATATTTTACATCTTTAAGATACATACATATCCATGTACATAAATGTAGATCCATATATAAGTAGATACGTATGTAAATTTTGCTATCTATAATGTTTCTCTCTAGAGAGCATTTTTGGTGAATATGTTTTCTGAGTAAAACTCTTTCTGCCTTTATTCAAAAATGCATTTATTTAACCTTTATGGCATCTGAATGAAATACTATTGATTGAGACTTGCATTAATAATAACTAACATTATTGAACATTTACTCTTTGCCAGGTATTTGTGCTAAGCACTTTTGCATTTTTCTTTGTATTAACTTCACAACGTACGTGTAAGATGGGGGTGGTATCTCCATTTTACAAATGAGGAAACTAAGGTACAGAGAGGTTAAAGAACTTGCCCAAGGTCACATAGCTAGGAAGTGGTGGTTCTAGGACTCAAACTGAGTCAGTTTGACTCCAGAGCCTCCATTTTAACCAGTATACTATATTGCTTGTATAATTTTGTGTAAATCTCTACTTAGGGAATCATAAAAAACTATAATTGCATGAGCACACACGTATAAACTGCAGATAAATATCAATTATATTTCTTTTCTCTCAAAACTATTTTTGCTCATATAAATCTTACGTCTTCCTGTCAAGAGGCTTCTGCTTGGATTTGTTTATAAATTGCATAATCGAGTACATATATTACTTCTTAAGTTATTTCTAAGTTATGTAATAAAAAATATATACTAGAATAATTTGAATTTCTGTGTATTTAATAAGTTGCATCCAGCCCAACAATGGGCTGGATAGAATTAGGAGGGGTCCAGTGACTATTAGATTTACTGAGTTGCCAGCAAGAATTTCAGCTCTTTCAGTTCCCAAATGGTATTTTTCAGGTGAATCTTTGTAGTCCCTATTTGTTACTGAGAAGAGCAGTACTAGCCTGTTTACGTCAGCTTGTGCAGAGGGAAGCAGCTGAAGTTTCAGAACATGCTGTTACGCTTACTAAGGATAGCAGAGAAGAGTTGACTCCAGGTAATTCTTTTCCTTAAAATTTTATCTCCAGCTCAGAATGATTGTTTTAATCTTAAATCTCATGTGTCAACATGAGCTTTTAAAACAAATTTTAAAAGTGAACATATAATATCTCTTAAACCTGCTACAAGAGACAATTGCTAACAATTACTGTAATTCCAACCAGTGATGTTACTGGTTTAGAACAGTGCTTCTCAAACTTAGGTCCCCAAACCAGCAATATCCACGTCACCTGTGAACTTATAACAAATGTAAGCTGTTGGGTCCCATTCCAAATAGAGGAATAGAGCCCAGCATTGTTATCTATGTTTTTATAATTCCTATGTTAATGTATACTGAAGTTTGAGAGCCACTGGGATTAGAATAAGTGTCTTCATAGTAGTCAATTGAAGTTGGATTTAGCCCTTAAGTAATTTATCGTATGTTCCTTTCTTCCCCCAAAGTCTCATTTAATAAAATTCTCCATGGATGGGTCTGTGTCAAGTTAAAGGATTTTTTTGCCCCTTCTATATTTTAGAGCTGAATTAAACAATTTCTTTGTCAGTAAGACTTGGTTTTAAATATATATCTCATCATTTTAACATGCAAGTAACCCAAACATGCATATAAATTCAAACAATCTACAAAAATAGTAATGATAATATCATACTTCTAGGCATATAGTTTCCAAAGTGCTGTCACACATTTAGGTCTCAAACTTCACAAAGTGTCCCTCTCTCTAAAGTTCTCAGACCTGTAATGTGTTTTACTGTCATGCTGTGCTTTTTAAATTATAGTTTTGTTACTGAAACATATGCTCTGGCTTGAGTTAATCAGCATTGTTGAACTGGTATACTAGTAGTCATCAAACAGGTTGGACAACTCATTTGAAAACTATTATGAAATTACTTACCTGAACCATAAAATTTTAATCTTCTAACTGTGAGATATTCTCCCCAAAGTGACTTTTGGGTTATATTCACCACTGAAATTATGTATCTGTTGCTGTAGGCTTTGGTTGTGTCCATATGCCGGTATGTGTTCCTAGAATTATTGAATTAGCTATGCAGGTAAAATTAATAAAGAACTCATATATAATTTCTTTTTTAATTTTGTAATTTTTCTAACCCATGGAAAAGTTGAAAGAAATGTGCATTGAACATATAGACTCACCACTTAGTATCTTTATGACACTCACTTTATATCTCTTTCCCTCTTTCATACAGACATACAAACCTTTTGCCAGAGCATTTCAGGCAGGCTGCAAATATGACAGTTCACCCTTCATTGCTTCAGTTTGCATTTTCCAAGAACCTCACATCATTTCTACACCTAATAAAATTAACATTTAGTAACATCATAAAAGGTGCAATTCTCACAGTTTTCCCCACTTATCAAAAAAAAAATGTCTTCAGTGGCTGTCTCTTAACCTATCAACCCCATCCAAATTTAGGATTCAGTCATGACTCATTTGTATATTGGTTATTCTGCCTCTTTAGACCCTAATTGGAAACGTTCTTACCACCTCCTTCTGAACTTTAAAAGATCATTTCTCTTTTAAAATAGTCTAATTGTAGACTATTAAGAATCTTTAGAAAATCTTTAGAAAACAAATCCTTTCATAAATGCTAGATGAGTTCAATCTTCAAGAGAAAATTTGTTCTTTTAGCATTTCCAGAATTAGAGGAAATAGATGCTGGATCAAGGGTTACAGTTCTCTTTGAGATATTTTATTACTTTGCAATGAAAATATTGTGTAGTAAATTTGTATTAATTTAGTAACATTCTTCAGTTCCCCAGTGGTTTAGTTGGAGTAATTAAACACTGTTCTCTGCAGTAGTTGTTTTCTTCTGAGTTTTACTCTTCATGTTAATAAATTTAAAATCTTTTTCTTACCAGAATAAGGAAAACTTAACTATGATTATTTATTTGACATTAAATTTAGAGAAAATATAAAATAATTATACCAGGAAATATTGTATAAAAGTTTAAGTATTGAATGTTAACTGGGTTAAAATGTTGACCTAACTTAAGGAAAACATATTAAAAAATCTCAATAAAGTCTTACCTTTCAATAACACTGGATTAAAATAGCAATATAGTATTGTGAATAATACCAGACTAACTGTGGACTAAATAGACCTCAGTAAGTTTAGGCACAATATTTGGACGAGTTCTTTAAAATATACCAGCATATGCTCCAGCAGTAGTCAGATGTCCAGACAGACTCACTCCTGCGGTGGCGCTGTGCTTCCGGGAGAGGAATATCCTGTCTTCTTCTTCTAGTTGCCTCCGTCACTGTTCTGGTGGCATCAGGCACTGGTGCAAGGCAGAACTGTGCTTCCTTCAGAGTGTACTAAGCATTCATTTTGGCTGTTTAGTTCTAGTGTGGGAGCAGACCCAGAAAAATAAAATATACTGGTATGTAATATTTTAATAGCTACTGAATGTGTGTGCTTCTCATATGGCAGTTTTGTTTTCTGTATTACTTAGATCATCGGTTTTGTTCTTGTCAGATGCTAACATCAGAGAAGTAGGACTTGAAGGAGTGTTACTGACCTTGCTAGACAAAGAGACAGATCACAGATTGTGCCATGATATCAAAGAGACTTTAAATCATATGCTCACGTCGATGGCAGTGGATAAACTTTCCTTTTGGTTAAAACTTTGTAAAGATGTGCTTGCTGCATCAGCTGGTAAGTACTGGTGACTACCAGTTGAAAGTATAAAATTGAAAGTAAAAATGTTAAATAAAGTTTTCTGCCAGTGATGATTAATCAGTTATGCACTCCTTTAGTTTTTCTTGTCTGGGAAGTTCTATTTATATGCCCTTCAATTCTAAATGATAGCTTTGCTGGGTAGAGCAATCTTGGCTCTAGGTCTCTGCTTATGATTTTGATTATTTCTTGCTAATCCCTTCTAGCCTGCTAAGTTTCTTTTCAGATATCAGCTGACAGTCTTATGGGAACTCCCCTGTATGTAACTAACTTTTCTCTTGCTGCTTTTAATATTCTCTTTTTCTTTAACCCTTGGCATTTTAATTATGATGTATCTTGGAGTGGGCCTCTTTGCATCCATCTTGTTTGGGACTCTCTTGCTTCCTGAATTTGCATGTCTATTTCCTTCCACAAATTAGGGCAGTTTTCTTTCATTATTTTTTCAAATAAATTTCCAAATTCTTGCTCTTTTTCTTCTCTTTCTGGTACCCATATGATACAAATGTTTGGCCTCTTGAAGTTGTCCCAGAGTCTGCTTATACTTTCCTAATTTCTTTGAATCTTTTTTTCTTCTTGTTGTCCTGGTTGGTGGTTTTCTGTTTCCTTATGTTCCAAATCATTGATTTGATTCTCAGCTCATCCACTGTACTCTTGTTTCCCTATAAATTGTTCTTTATTTCAATTACTGTAAACTGCATTTCTGACTGGGTTGTTTTTATGCGGTTGAGGTCCTCACTAAGTTCCTTGAGCATCCTTATAACCAGTGTTTTGAACTCTGTCTCTGCCTCCGTTTTGTTTAGCTCTTTTTCCAGAGTTTTGATCTGTTCCTTGTCTCCTCATTTTGGTAGTCTCTCTGTGTTTGTTTCTACATGTTAGGTAGAGCTGATTTGACTCCTTGTCTTTGTAGTGTAACCTAATACAGTAGGTGTCCTGTAGGGTCCCAGTGACACAGCGTCTCCTATCACCCAAGCTGGGTATGTCGTGTAGGCTAAATACACCTTCTTCTTATAGTTGAGCCTTGATTGCTGCTGGCAGATCAATGGGAGGGATTTACCCAGGCCAGTCAGCTGCAAGGACTGGCTGTGACCACTTACCATGAGCCTCCACCCTCCATGGAGGATCAGCTGTGCAGGTCGGGGTGGTGGTGCTGTGAAGTGGTCTGCGGCTGTCCACTAGGTGCACTGGCCCTGGGCTTTCCCAGGTGGTGCTGGCCAAGATCATTCCCCTGGGTTTCGCCTGGGGCCACCCTGCCTGAGCTATAAAGCAGTCTGAGGTGGCTGCTACCTGTGCTTGGCTTGGAGATTCCCAAGCAAAGCCAAGTTGTGAACCTAGGCTGGCTGCTGCTAGTGCCAGGCCTAAGGATCACTGAGGCCAGCTGTTGCTTGTTTGATAGCATTTAAGAAGTTATGAAGCATGAGCAATACCAGCCATTCATACAGAAAAGCAACTTGGGTGGGCCCACGTGTTGGGTGGGTCGTAGTCTCAGGGCATCTCCAGGGCACGGCAAACAGTGTTAGCCAGGCTGATGGAGTCTCAGATATGGCACCAGCTTGCTGGCTCTGTGAGGGGAGGGTTTAGAAAAGGCCAGTGGCCTCTGCTCTCCCTGATGCCAAACACTTCAGTTCCTCCCCATATGGTGCCTTTCAAGCTGCTACCCCAGTGCTGGACCTCACAGGGAGTAAGTCTCAGTAGGTGAGTCCTTGTGTGAGTTCTTTAAGAGGAACTGCTTGGGACTCTAGAAGTTTCTTCCACTGACTCAATCCCTGCTGGCTTTTGCAGCCAGAAGTGGTGAGGACTTAACCTTTCTGGCACTGGAACCCAGGGCTAGGGGTGCTGGTGTGGGGCCAGGACTCTCACTCCCCAGATATCCTTCCTGAATTTTTATCCACTACACCTGGGTGTGGGACAAGCCCATCCTGCACCTGCGCCCCTTCTACCAGTCCGGATGGATGTAGTTTCTTTAATTCAGTAGTTGTCAGACTCCCATTCGGGTCGATTTCTGATGGTTCTGAGTGATGATGGTTCTATATTTCAGTTGTAATTTTGATGTGGCTGTGTGAAGAAGTGAGCCATGTCTGCCATCTTGACCAGAAGTCTCTACCTTGATTCTTAATAGTCTTCTTTTGCAGTGATTTAGATCTGCTCTTTCAACCATTCTTCTCCACATTTTCCTTCTTGAATGCTCTCTTCTATCCCCACTACTTAACTTACAAGGACTTCTCCTTTAAAAGAAAATGTGTATGTGCATAGACTGACAGGTTGATTACATTTTTCTGGTATCTCACCTATCTTTTTTTAAATTTTGCATTTATACCCTCTGAGCTTACTAACTCAATTTTATTTTACCATTTATTCTTTGTATCTTATAGTTTGGTCCTATCCATTCTTATTTGGAAAATACACATTTTAGTTTCTGTTGACTTCTGAGACATAAGACAGGACTTTGCCATAACTTTATTTGTGACATCTTTATTATCTTTCATAACACACTAAAAAAATGTTGACATACAAGATAATTTAAGAAAAACAAGTTGGTTCTGTGGCGTTAGTTCCATTTGTAAGTAGAGTTAGTAAGTTAACAGTACAAAGAGGAAATACATGTACTTCAGTGCTCAGTGCTTTAGTTAGCAGAACAGTGTGAGGCTATAATGACAGCAGTGGGTCTCTCCAGAGAAAAATACTTCAGACATTTTCAGTGCCTTCAGGAACCTTCTTAAGTCCATTCAATGCCACATTGTTAAAATGGCAATCCACTACACTCCCTGCAAGAGAATTTTGATCTTCCTTAATACAGAGGGTTGATAATTACCTGGTATCTAGTATCATATTCAATGTTTTTCATTTTGAGTATAATTTAACAACTTTCATATTTTTACCTAGACAGTTCTAATAGCAGTTCTTTAAGTATCACTGCTATCTGTATTTATTAGGCATGATTATTTTACATTGTTAAAAGATGTATGATTGAACAACAGTTATTCTGTTCTGAATTTGAAGTCATTTGTGTTCCTTCATAAATATAGCTTCAGTTGATTGTAATTACATGTATTCTTCCTTGATAAAAGATTTTACAACCGTTACTTGTGTGGATACAATGCAAGAAGAGGAAGGCGATAAAGGGGATGATGCCTCAGTTCTGACCACCAGAAATGATGACAAATTCCATCCTTTTACCAATCCCCGCTGGGCTACCAGAGTCTTTGCTGCTGAATGTGTCTGTAGGATAATAAACCAGTGTGAGAGTGCACACTGTGCACATTTTGACATTGCGTTAGCACAAGAAATGAAAAGAAGGGATTCAAGAAGTAAGTGGCATAATAATGAAAAAAACCAAATGCTATATATATAGAGAAATACTGTCTGCTTATCTATTATTCATTTAAAAAGTAAAACTGAAATGTTTTTATTCTTCCAAATCAGCTATGAAACTGACTACACCTTTATATAAAATGTAGGTGTAGTATATTCTAAATGTTTAAATTCACTTTTAATGTATAAGCTTCTTAAAATGGCATTCAGTTGTTTAATGGACATATAAAATGAGTTAAGTTTATAGAGAATAACTAATGGTCTTACAAAGCAGTACATGTGTTAGGTACTTCCCAAAATTTATTTTCTGAGTTATAACTTATAGCAATTTTACTTATAGATTATTTTGGTTTCATGGATATACTAAGAAACATTTGAGCCTTTCTCAGTGTAAACATAGTTTTAAGACCATTTTAACCTTTTATTCAGTTGTATTATTGTTGCCTAAATATGTGTTTCATGGTCTGATATCTGATTTTTTAAATTGACTTCAGTACAGTTCAAAGGTGGCAATGTACATACCTAAATGCCTTGAAAATATTCTTTACCAGGCAAAAGAATTCTAAAACAAAATGTTCCTAATACCAGTCTGAGAATATGAATAGGGTATCTCTGTTTTAAGGATTTTTCAAGCAGCATTTATTGAGTTTCTTTATTTGTGATGAGCACTGTGCTAAATACTGATAGTATAAAATTAGTATATCCTAGATGCTTACTGATTCCTGTGCTCCTGATTAAAATTGTGATTGGCACTTAATAAAATGAGTTGGTTTCTTCAGTGTGGTCTATTGCTATTCTTCCTTGAATTAGTCTCAAACATATTTTAGGTAAAGGTTAACTGTACCCTAAACATTTTATTGTTGAAACATTACTAAATGATTGTCTTATGTTTTTCCCTGGTAGAATTATTATACCAAAGAATGTGTTGTAGGAATGGAAAAAATTTTCATTGGTAATTATATAGCCAGAAATTTTTTTTTATTCCCATCATTTGAACATGTGGCAGGTCATGTAAAAATAAGGTAATCTAGTCCATTTAAAGCACTACATAAAGTTATTTTTTAAAAGAACATCAAGTCTTTTAGCTTCAATTTGATGTGAAGAGAGTAATTAAAATACTGATTAATTCATCAAAACCCAAAGTCTACTAAGTACCTTCCAATGTATTTTTATCAGAAAGTCTGATCAAAAATTTTATTGAAGGTACTGTTAGTACTCTTTTAAAGGATGCTAATTCTGTCTTTGGTTTTTGAATAGCTGTATAATTACTTGCTTTGGTATAGTTTTTCTGTGTATTTCCTGTGGTGCAGTAAATCCAGCTTTCACGGTTGTATTTATCAAATTATAAAACAAAACAGTAATTCAAATCAGAGATAC